GGTTTTTATAGACCGTTTGTCAAGGATTATGGGAGGATAGCTGCACCGCTGACACATCTCCTCAAGAAAGATGTACCCTGGCGCTGGGGCGAGGAGCAGGTCAGCGCATTTTCAAGGTTAAAATATTGTTTATCGCACGCTCCCGTTCTTGCATTTCCAAGGTTTGACCTCCCCTTCATTCTTCATACAGACGCATCGAATGTTGGGCTAGGGGCTGTTTTAATGCAGGAACACAAAGGGAATCTGCGTCCCATCGGGTTTGCTAGTAGAGTTCTCACCAGTGCAGAGAAGAATTACTCAGTCACCGATAGGGAAATGTTAGCGATTGTTTAGGCTCTTAAGTACTTCAGGGATATTATACTGGGGTACAAGGTCATGGTGCACACGGACCACATGCCGCTCACGTCGCTTAATGGCAATGATCCTTATGGTCGTAGGGCACGTTACCAGGATATCCTGGGCGAATTCGATGTGACCTTTGTGTATATTCAGGGCCGCGCAAATGTCGCCGCCGACACGTTGTCACGCGCGCCAATCGAATTCTCGCAATCTTTGAAGCGGGACGACACTGCTGATTTCCCCCCCCTTCATTTAGCTTGCCTTCGTCAGCGGTTGTGAATAGTGCTTCACAGGTTCCTCCCTTGGAGCCGCTAAATAAGGACGAGGTATATGCTGCTCAGCGTGCCGACGAAGTTTACGGCCAGATCATTGATGCTTTATCTAAAGGCACGGCAGTGCCGAAGTTTAAAGGGTTGCCAGTTGACGATTTTTTTCTTGACGATACGGTACTCTTATTTCGGAGGTCCCGGCCGAAGCGAATTATGAATCGCAGGCGGATTGTCCGAAAAGTCTTGGTGGTGCCGGAATGTTTAGTGCCGCGTGTGTTGACGTATGCTCACGAGTCCCGTGAGGCAGCGCATTGTGGTGCTCACAAGGCAGTGCAGATGACCCGAAACTGATTCTATTTTCCACAGTTATTTGACAAGGTCACGGAACACGTCAGGTCTTGCAAGACGTGTCCGCTGTACAAGGGTCACACAAGCGATCCCGCGCCTGCACTAAATTTCGATATTCCGGAGTTTCCTTGGCAAAAGGTGTCATGTGACACTTTGTCGGGATTCACCACATCACAGTCTGGCAACAAACACATCATTGTGTTCGTGGACAATTTTTCTCGCTACTGCGAGGTAGTGGCGGTTCCTTCAAAAGTTGCTGTGCACGTCACGAAAGCATTCCATGACGTAATTGTTGCCGCCACGGCTGTCCACAATATTTAAGCTCGGATAACGGTACCGAGTTTGTAATTCAGGTGTTAGCCAGTCTGACACAGCAGCTAAATGTGACGCAGGTGAATGTTTTGCCGTTCCGTCCGCAGGCTAATGGCATCACGGAACGTTTAAATAGATCTATTCTCACCATTTTGCGTCAGTTGGTGGACGACAGCAAGGACGATTGGGAAGTTCTTCTCCCCACCATCCAGTCGGCCATCAACTCTACCTATCACTCTTCCCTGGGCGATAGCCCACATTTTGTTCTCACGGGGCAAGACAAGCGGTTGCCATACGAACTCCTGGAAATTAGACCGCACCCCCTATATGCAGGCAACTATGCTGAATATTTGGTTTCTCGGCAACAGCGAGCATTTCAGCAAGCAAAGGCGCTCCTGACCAGGTCACGAGATAGAATTATTGAGTACCAGCATAAGATCGCTCGGGCAAAGACTATCGGTGTTGGTTCCTTGGTTTTTAAGAAAGCTCATTTTCATGGTACTATTCGGCCTAGGCTTAGTCCGTTATTTGTGGGTCCCTACAGAGTTGTAGCAGTAAAAAACAACAAGGCAGAGTGCAAATCTGTCGCTGATGGCTCTGTGCAGTGATTCCACTTTGACGTCCTAAAGCTGGCTGATCAGTATTATCAGTGTAGGAATCATAGGTGGTCCTCTTGCCTTCATTCTTGCTAAGACATATCATCCCAGTTGAATTCCTTCATAGGACCTCTCAAATCTACGAATAGGACCCGGCGAGGATTATTCAACTTTGTTGACAACATTGCACATGGACTTTTTGGAGTTGTGGATGACGACACGCTCGCATCCGAGCTCAATAAGTACAGGGAAAGCTTATCGTCTGTAGTTCACAGTTTCGACTCGTCTGCTCACGCTGCCAACACGCTCGAACGCAACGTTCAGGAATTAGCTTCTGACTTTAATATTGTGCGAAGTAAGGTCGGTCACATTGTAGGTACAGTGAACAAGGTGTCTCATCTTACCTCTTTAACCTTTACTATTTTCTCATTACCAGAGCACGATGAACAAGCTTATACAGCGAGTGACAAGTATGGCATCGGCTCTCATTCGTGCGGCGCACGGAGAAGTGTCACTTTATCTGATCTCGCCTACCGACATGGGCGCGGTACTTCAGAGTGTCTTCCTTTTCTGTCAAGACGCTCTTCCCCTTAAAGAAACGCACTCAGGTTTACGCCAGCCTGAGTCCTTCCTCACTTCCTCAGGGCTGTCTGTTATTATTCTAGTGCGTCCTTCTACTGTCTTTAAGGCGTACCGCATACACTCTTTCCCACACAAAACAAACAACTCTCATTACATGGTTCACGTGCCGCACACATTCATTCTTCGAGAATTAGGAGGACATGCTTTATCTTTCCCTTCCTCCGACTTCTTAGACTCTTGTTCGAGGCCTACTAGGGACACATTCGTGTGCTTTTCTTCACCTCTACCTTCTTCTCTTCAGACTCCATCTTGTGCTCGTGCTCTTGTTTCTGGAGGGCTGATCACCTCCCTCTGTTCCTTCGAGGAAGTTCAGGATCAGCTCTCACCTTTCATGCTCAGCCTTTCGCAGGTGACACTGATTTATTTCTATCAGCCAACGGTCGCCACAATTGCTTGGGAGGACCTTCAGCCAGATAGGAAGTTGCAGGGAACCTTTGTACTGCCTCATTATTGCGGGTTACGTTCCCTGTCGCTGCAACTTCCGGCAATCAAGTCCATCGTCACGGACGTCGCTGCAGATCCTATAGCGATTAGGCCTGCGATCCTGACCTTGCCGACCCTCAACGTCACGATCCCGAAGTTGCATCTAAGGGACGTTAGTAAGGTTCAGGACGCGAACGTGGGGTTGATGTCGAGATTTCATGTAGATTTTATCTACCCTATCTATGTCTCTTTAGCAGGCGTGTTGCTCCTCCTATTAGTGTTTGGGGTGTGCTACGCGAAGGCATATCGAATGCATACGGAAGAGGAACGAATTAGCAGTAAGCCCGTCGAGCGTGCTTCCTCATGTCCCCCGTATGGTGGACCTAGGCCATAAGGCACCGATATTTTTGTGCATAAAATCATATTCTCTCCTATCCCTTTATCGGAATGCTCGAAGTTCAAGATGATCTTTGCGGATTGCCTTGTTCATTCCAAGAAAGAAAGAAAGAAAGAAAACAAATTACAAAGTGTTATGCTGATTGTTACCGGCTCGTAGTAGGTTGTTTACTCCCCCCCCCCCCCCACACACACTTTTGTCATATCTTTCTCTCCTACTATCCTGGCCCTTGCGTGCATGGTCTGTTTGCCGTTGGACGGATCGTCGCGACCGTCGCTTCACGCACGTGACCGACGGCGAGGGACCCCATAGAGAGCAGGAGATTCCGGATGGACCATGCCGAGGACGTCTCCGAGATATGGCGCTATGGTGAGGCGCCGTGAACGGACCGAAGCAACGACAGAAAGTAGGACGACGCACAGGACGGGTGGAGGATGAGGACGCGCTCCGTGGAGGAGGGACAGCGGCCGCACCGGGTACCGTCGAGTCTTCCCCCAGACCTTGAGGTGGACCAGCCTGTAAGCGCCTCGAGGACGAGGCGAGGGTAGGTGGCAGAGCGGTGTGACATTCGCCAAACGGGAACATCTGCCACTGACCTGATGTAAGCATGCCATCACAGGAAAATCTGGCTGTAGGGTGGGTGAAGTGAACCTGCCATTGTGACCGTTGTGGCTGAAAGCCAGGGTGATGGAAAAGACTTGCCACGAGTGCACAAACTTATTGGGAGGTTTATTTTACACATTTGGCGATTTCCCATCAATGTATGAGTGTGGAATGACATGACTGTGGGTGGTGACTGGAAGGGTGCCAGCTCCATGGAGGATGCCACTTCCATGCTCAGCATTGTATTGCTTGCACCGTGAGTGCCAACGCAGGTTGTTTTACAGAATATTGAATATTACCTTAAAAAAAAGTAACCGTTTTATCTTTCTTGCACCGAAAAGAGAATGTATATAATTGGAGTCTGTGCAAAGAAAAAAAAACAAAAAAACTTACCATCTGGATAATGCAAAGCAAATGGTAAATATGGACATTAGAAAACTTACCATCTGGATAATGCAAAGCGAATGGTAAATATGGACATTAGAAAATGGCTAAAAGTCAAAAAATGCTTATATGTAAAATTAGTATATAATTTTGCAAATAGGAGGCACAGAGTTTTGCCACCACACATGTGTTCATGTGTGCCTGGCATACAAGCAGCCATCCAAAAAAGCAGCCACTCATGTAAGCCTAATGCTTGGATTTTTGGTAATGGATTCAATGGGTTAACCCAGTGCCGCTAGGGAAAATGAATAAAAAATGGGGAAAATGCTGTGCTCATTTTTTATATTTTTTGTGAAATATCTCTGCACATAGATGGCTCTGCTAGTGCTTAGCCACAAAGAAGTCAATTAGTAGACCTTCTGACCTTACGTGATTTGAATTGGCAAGAAAAATGTATTTTTTACTAGTGCTGTGAATATCAATAAATCAATAAGATAATTCAAAACATGGGTAAATGGGCGAGACAGCCAGTACTCGTAACTGGCTCATTACTGACTTAGTACAAGTGTAGCCATCTATGTGTAAAAACAATCAAACACGTAACTCACAGTGGGCATAGCACATACGTACACGTCATGCCCGTTGCCATTGGGTTAATGAAATGGGGGAAAATGAAAAAAAAACGTCTGCATGTATATGAATAAAGAAAATTTATTTTCAAAAGGAAAGGGAGTCAGTTGATTAGACAAAATATGGACCTTGTGAAACCTAAAAATGATTGTAACTTTTATCTAAGGTACAAAGTAGCAATATGTACTTCAATACATAAAAATGGTTCTTCAGGACACCTAAAGCAATCCTTCAATAAAAAAATATATACCACTGTGACCTTAGTCACATACCTTTCAACACAGTATGAAGAAATTCCTTTTCCCTGGAATCTCATCCTCATACACAATTTTAGCATCATTTTATAAAATATCAACAATTTCCAATGTTAAGACACTTGGTTACATATAATGTTTATAAAATAGCATACATGTGTTAATGGATACAATTTTAAAAAGTAGTATACAAAGGAAATACAAATCATTATCAAATCTATTAACCTAATGTCACCGGGAAAATATGCTCATTTTTTTGTGAAATGTCTCTGCAAGTGCTTAGCCACAAAGGAGTCAATTAGTAGACCTGATTTCACCTTTCCTTAAATAGATGATTTTTTTTTTTCCTAATGCTATCAATATCAATTTATTATGGACATTATATTTTCTACAATGTTATTGACATTAACGATAGCAATATAAGATAACATCAAATATTTTTGAAAATCAAGCAAAAGGGTGAGACAAGTACACATAATTGGCACATTGGTGACTTAGTACAAGTGGAGCCATCTGTATGTGAAAACAATTATTAAGTAAACTCACATGCCCATTGCTTTAGGGTTAATATGTTGAATACCTGCTGCAAAAGTAGATACCAGCTTTTTAAAAAGAAGAAAAAGTAGTTTATCCATAAACACAACACCAAGTGTATTAAATGATCAATGATCAGTCCCTCTGAAGCCATCCCTTTAAAAAGTTTTTTTTTATGAAAATATTTGGCAATCCTTTCTGCAACTGAAGTTAGAAAACCATAGCAGCATGGACGCATAACCTTTGGTTTCATCTGTGCTGCTTAGATGCTGATCCTAAGCTTGCACATTGCAGGAGCATTCTTTTGAGTGTCGTTCCCAATCTATACTCTGGAAATACAAAACAAAGTAAGAATTATCAAAATAAAGACATAAAGCAATGTACTATATGTAAAGTAAGCATCTGCACCCCCCCTCCCCCACAAAATTTCACAAAGGCAAGAAATAAACTCAAACTTACAGAAATGTAAAATAGGCTTATAAAATTATATCAAAGTAGTCTGTTAACAGCAGGTTAACAAGCAAATTTATTACCCACTAGCTTTGTTTTATGAACTTTGTTTACACATAGTATTACTAAACTAAAAATTTAAAGGACATAAAGCCATCCCTAGTGGCAATGGATAGAGAGATCTTTGAACCCAATGAACCTCACTGGTATCTTTTTGTGATAAGTGCCAATTGAAACTTGCTGCTGAAGATACCAGGATAAAGCAGATTGTAATAGTAGAAGGAATAGAAACTCAGACCATCCTACAGGGTAGTGAGATATGGGTTAGGATTTTTCTTTTCTTTTCTTTGCCTCCCTTTCTAGAATGCAAAATAACCCAATGCGTAACACACCAAAAGGGATGTGTCTAAACATGACATGTGCCTGGTATGTGGTTTTGAGCGTGATGAGGCCTCCAGTGTTTTGTGGCCAAAATTCCTGCAAAGGTATATGGCCATGAAGATGCAAAGTATGCATGGTAGGACTGAGTTATCATTGTGAGTTCAGTGAGGTGGCCATTCACAAAATGGCAATAATATATGTCACCAAAAGCAAATGGATTAATACTGCCCATTTTCTCAAGTACATACAGTTTGCCTGTACTGGTACACTGTTTTCTGTGAACAACAAGAGCAGCTCCTTTACATTTGTTTACATTTTCTTGCTAAATATGCCTTGAATGGACTCATTAAAAATATTGAATCACCAAATCTGGGATGTCACTTTCATTCACAAATGCTGTTACAGTGTCTATATATAGACTACACTGAGATACCTAAACACAAACAAACAAACAACCCTGTTTTAAATATTGTTTGATGGTTGTTGGTCTTAGTGAAATAACAAGTGCTCATTTGTAAATGGGATAATTTATCCATTTGGAGCTGCACACATTTAGCTACTACCTATTTTCCCACAAGATGACTTTGTTAGCCAAATATTTAGTATTTGACAAAACTTCAGTATTTCTAATGTGTGTGTGTGTGTGTGGGGGGGGGGGGGATTAGGGCAGCAACACTGCTAGTCCCCACCTATAAGACAATAAAAAGGTGTGTTTCTCAATTATATCTATACTGTCATTTACTCCTCTCTCCTCAAAAAGAGAAGCATGTCAGAAGAGCCCAAATTGCAACAAAGCAGAGAAGGAAGACTACAACACTCATGGTTTCAATGCATGAGTAATCATGCATTCAAGGGGTGTCAAGCTTTAGAAATTCACTGGGAAAGAATTATCCCGTAATCTATTATGTAAACTCACCTGGCATGATTTGCTGCAGTAG